CTTAGGCCTGGGAGGCATACTGCTGCTGGGCCCATAATATACTCTAAGGGGCCCAAATTTTTAAAAATTTTGTGTTTTAGTCCATATTTGCAGTAGATAGTGATTATATTCTTTGTGGGAGTTGGTACTTGTACAGTACACGACAGATCTGAATTCTTTTTTAATTCCCTTCTACTCGCCCGTCTCTTGATCTCCTTCCCATTTGAGAAAGATTCCCCTATTTTCTATTATCTATCTTTTATCTTGGGAGGTTCTTATATAAAAGAAACCATGTGACCCACAAACTGTGGGTCTAATTTATTTCATGCAACATTATGGTCTCAAGGTGCATTTACTTTCCTACAAAGGACTCCAGTTTATCCTTCTTTACGGCAAAGCAGTACTCCGCTGTATGTAAATACCGTATTTCCTTTATCCACTCATCTGCTTGTGAACATACAGGCTGCTCCCAAGACTCAGCCATTATGAGTTGTGCTGCTGTAGACGTGGGTACGCATGGATTTGAACTCACTCAGGAAGACGTTAAGAAAAAAAATCCATTCACAATGACACCAAAAAAATGAAATACTTAGGAATTCACCTAATCAAGGAAGCCAAAGACCTCTACACTGAAAACTTCAGTATTCCGAAAAAGGACATAGAGGGAGAAAATGGAAAGATATCGCCTGTTCCTGGGTAGGCAGGACAAATGTGGTCAGAACGGCCATCATTTCAAAACTCATACGCAGACTTAGTGCAAGCCCAATCAAATACCAACAGCATTCTTCACTGAATTGAAGGAAACAATACTAAAATCCATCTGGAGCCAGAGGAGATCCAGAATAGCAAAAGCAGTCCTGGATAAACAGAGTACAGCGGGAGGCATCACGATCCTGGATTTGAAGCCATAGTACAAGGCTGCAATGATAAAAACAGCACGGTGCTGGCTTGAAAACAGACCTGAGGATCAGTGGAACAGAATAGAGAAGCGAAAACTACCCCAGGCAAATTCAGCCACCTGATCTTTGACCAAAGGGCCAAACATACACACTAGAGGAAAGATAGCCTCTTCAATGAATGCTGCTGGAAACATGTTTGTTTTTTAATCCAGGAAAATAAAAGAGAACTTTTAGGTCAAAGAAACATTTTAAATATGTTAATACAGTCTTATTTAAACCGATGTAGTTGTAACATACAATTTGTAATTTTTCTACAAAGACAAGAATTCCTATGGTCACAATATAATAAGTAGACCCTCGGGTCACGACCACCCTGACGCGCACATGACTTGGGTTACAACCAGATTTTGGTTTTAACTTACGAACAAAGTATTAAGTTATTTAATACCCATTGTTTTTGCTTCTATGTAGTGTCAGATGCAGATTTAACCCTTTAACCATTCTGGAAGGAACACTACATCCTTTCCTGTGTGAGGTTAATCGAGAAGTCCTGGGCCCATGTCTCTCTAAGGACCCTGGGAGCTGCCTAGAAGAAAGCAAGGCCTAAAATTATACAGGAGAGAGACTTTGAAGGCCACTGACCAACCCGAGTTACAATCAGCCTTCTGGAACAAATTGAGTTTGTAAGTCAAGGGTGCACTGTACAAGCCTATCCCCGGGAAGGGCCTCTAGCAGGGATGAACAGCGCAGAACGCTCCAACATGTGCCATGGCCTCCTTTTGCCCAGCTGCCCACTTTTCTGAGAACCACACTAAAGCTGTAAGGGCAGCATAGCCTGGCTCTCAAAGCAACGATTTTGTGCCTCTCTCCTTGGGCTCCTGGAGACAAGGGAGTTAGCAAAAGCAGCAATTCAGAGGGGGCAGCTGGGGCCCAAACCAGACCGACAACTCCTGTGACTACTACCGTGGTCTTCACTGTTGCTCTGTGTTTGTTGTTCTGAAAGTAAAGGGAGCCTGCTGCAGGTGGTTTGCGCCTATAACCCCAGAAATGTGGGAGATGGAGCCACAGGATTGCAAGCTGAGGGCCAGCTTGGGCAATCAGTGAATTTACTGAAAGCCCTGTCTCAAAAAATTTAAAAAGTAAACATGAAAAGACCCGGGATGCAGCTCAGGTTCAATGTCCGGGACCAGGTGTGGGGCGGGGGGAAGAGACAGACAGAGACAGAGGACGGAGAGACAGAGAGGAGACACAAAGGGACGGAGGAAAGGGAAGAAGAGAAGGGAAAGGAAGCAGAGGAAAAACCATGACGCAAGCAACATGGAGGGAGTCTCCTCGGTGGAGCTGGGAGGCTATCACGAAGCAAGACTCCGGAACTTTTTAGCTGCGGCTGAGGAAGGTGAACTTTGGCCACCGACCCTCTGCGTGCATCTAGAAAAGATCTTTACATGGTGCTCAGAGACTCGGGCTGCAGGTCCAGAAGCCAGCAGATTCTTTTCTATGGACTCTTTTTTTGTTTTTCATCAAGTACAGGCATTCTTTTCTTTATCTTCTGTTGATTACAAAGCCTTATCATGCTGCATCTATTGTTTTTTGATTTCAGTGGCATTCTTACCTCTTTGCTCTGCTTGCCCACTTAAGCTCCACTTTCCCTGCCTTCTTGGGGACACCGATCAAGCTCTAGGGTTGGTGGCTCCCAAACTGTGGTTCCTCAGACCCCAAACGTCTGCAGTTTCCAACTTGAGTAGGAGAAGAGTGTGCCCGGTTGGTTAAATGTGCTTCCCCACGTTTCTGCTTTCTACCGAGCCTGTGCGGTGGGCAGATGGGAGTGTTGTTCCAAGGTGAGGAACATAAGCCTCCGTACACCTAAGGTAACAGAGCCCGGGGAAGGCACTAGAAGCTTCTGACTGATTTGTAGTGTCACAGGCGTGTCCCTTGGCTAGGAAATGTCCTAACCCAGGGGATAGAGGACCAGCCCTGCTCATCAGCTCTCCAGGCTTGCTAAGATCGTGGCCACAGGCTGGGAGAAAGGCTGTGGCTCTGATTTCTAATCCCCACAGTCTTGAAATAGATAGAGGCCTGACTTCCCTGACACCCGGAACTCTGGAGTGTCTGTCACTCGTCTGCCCTTTTTTTTCCTCTCCAGACCCACCCTGCACCTGGCTGCTCAGAAAAGCCACTTCCTTAGCCTTATGCCAGCAGGATGCTTTTTGTGCTGCGATTTGGGCCTGTTTTACTTCCCGGATACCCAAAGGCAGGAGCACAGCCTATAGATAGACGAGTTGCTTTTCTGCAAGTTATTTCATAAAAACCGAGGGGAGGAGGAGGAGGAGTACAGAGTCTTCCCCTTAAAAATTGCAATACCGAGAGGAATGGGTTGTTAGAGGACTAGAAAGACAGGAAAACATTTTGGAGTAGAGATAAAACAGGACTGAAGAAAAACAAGTCCTTCCTAGCTGTGGGGAGCCCCTACCCATCACCCTCCTCTCCCCTGTAGCTGTAACTCTTGTTCTGGTACAGATAAAATTGACAACTATGTCTTGTAAACAAAGTTTACGAGGGCTGGGGACATACCTCAGGGACATACCTCGGCGGCATCAGGGCTGCCTGGCAAGCACAAGGTCCTCAGTTTGATTCCGGTATGGGGGAAAGAAAAGTTTACGACACTTTGTTCCCATATGATTCATAAGACACTGTCTTCTTTTAAGGCAAAGTTACAGAGCTGTCTGCCCTTTTCCATTTCCAATAAACTGGCCACATCACTTGAAAAACCACCCCTTTTCACAAACTCTACAAAAGCTGGAATTTCTCTTTGTTTCTTGCTCTTCCTTTGCGCAGGAGTCTGTTAAACTGGTGTTCACTTTAAACCTGAAATAAAGTCCTCCTGTTTCAGCCGGTGGGTCTCTCCGGTCTCTTGGCTTCCTGCAACGGAGGGGAAGAACTGCTCTTTTCCCTAGAAAACAGATCAGTGCACCCCTCACTGCCAACACTTCATTATGGAGGGAAAAGGAGCAACATATTTCCTTCTAGCTGCTTAATGCCGATTGGCCATAAACCATGGGAATTTGGGCAGTGAAAGATGTTTGATCTAATGAGATATGCATCTTTTTGTTCCCTTCTTTAGGGGCAAAGTCATCAAAAGCACTGGCCTCACTGTTAATTTGAAGGCCTGGTTGTATAATACGATTTTTGTATACAATACAATACTTTTAGCTGGGTGTGGTGGTGCACCGCACACCTATAATCCCAGCACTCAGGAGGCTGAGGCAGGAGGATCGCTGTGAGTTCGAGACCAGCCTGGGCTACATAGTGAGTTCCAGGTCAGTCTCAACTACGTAGTGAGACCCTGTCTCAAAAAACAAAACTAACTAACTAAATAAAATAAATAAAAATAAAACAATATAGTACTTTTAAAGCCAAATGTCTACAGTTGTAGATATCTACAATTATCATCAGGGATGTTAAACATTATTAGAAAATTCTAGGCCCCGGGGATTTAGCTCAGTGGTTCTGCTGCCTGCCTCGCAAGCACAAGGACCCAAGTTCGATCTCCAGTACCAAAAAAAAAAGAAAAATTCCACTAAAGATGTGTCCTAGATTGGGTCTGTTACAGTTGAGTGGGCCCAAAATAGTCCAAGTTCTTGTGTGAAATACAGAAAGGATTGCCAAGCGTACACCTCATAGTATGTAGTAAGTAGGTACATTTATTCAACATCACAGGGTGGCAGCACCAGGAACCGGCAGAGGGATGAAGGCAAAAAAGGGACTCAAGAACTCAAAATTCCGGTGTCTGACCCTAGGCGCCTCCCCGTCTCTCTCCTTGGGGTCTGATCTTCTGCCTTAAGCATTGCAACCTCCTCAGTTTAAACCTGGATAATCATTGGGGTAGGTTGTGCTTATGGTTGAATGAGGGGAAGGGAGTGACTCTCCATATTTCCCAATTTTAGGATTGTGGAGGTGCGGATGAATCCTTAGGGCGGGGCTGCAGTGGGACAGGAGTGGCTCACTCAGCTCCTTTGTGTTTAAATACTATTGCGGGCTGAGAGCCCTGGTCCCAGATGAACTGAAGGTAGAAGTTTCCCCTTTCTACAGCTACTTCCCTCTGAATAGGGGTATTGGCCCTACCTACACAGCGACCAAGGAACTCTCGACCTGATTGATCTAGGAGCTCAAGGAGGCTGAGCCCTTCCTTCAAAGATTTCTTGAACCGTGCGTGGATGAGGAGCAAGTCCTGATCTTGAATTGTGGTCACTACCGGGAGTCTGATAGGAAAGGCATCTTCAACCTGAAGCGGAAAAGAACCTGGGTTCTCACCTTCCTTGCCGGCTAGGTTGTCTGGTTGCCCACTTCTGCTGAGGTCTCTGAAGGTCTCTGGATCGCGGATGCCTTCAGTGTCTGGTGAGGTCTCTTGGTTGCTATGTGATAAAGTCCCTGGTGCGTCGTCTGGTGAGGTCCTTCCGAGGTTTGGTTAACCTCAGCTCGACAGATGTTCCAGTTAAGGGGGCCCAGAACAGTCCAGGTTCTCATGTAGGACAAGGAAAGACTTGACCGGTGTATGTAGTGTGCAGCTATGTGTATAAAAGGTCATTGGGTGGTAGCAGCAGCAACAGGCAGAAGGGAGAAGGGGGAAAAGGCCAGACTGTGGAAACGACTGCTCCCCTTCAATTCCATTTGGCTGAGAAGAAAGATGTGTGCCTCGTTTTGGAAACAGATGACTAGGTAGCCAGACCTCAGAAGGAATGTGCACTGCGTGTAACCTCAAAGTGTCATGGTGCTCTTAGGAATTGCTTTAGGGCCGAGACCTAGCAAATTACTATAAATGGATTATATATATTGAAGTTTTTGTTTCTTTGTTAACTGTAACTGGCAAAGCGTGCTATTTGGGGCCGTCCCCCTTTGTCCCTCAGGCCCACTAATGTCTAACTACTTGCCTAACATATATAATACTTGCCACATTTACTCCCTTCCCCGCTCCTGTCCCCCACCCCAAACTCTGGCAGTGGGGATTGAACCCAACGCCTCACTCATGCTAAGCCAGCATCCTACCACTGAGCTATATCTCCACCCCTTTTTCATTTTATTTTGAGGCAAGGACTCACTAAGTTGGCCTCAAACTTGGGATCCTCCTGACTCAGTCTCTTTAAGCAGGTGGGATTACAGATATGAGCCCCCGACTACCCCTGGCTTCCTTCTGTTTTGGCCCAAAGTAAAAGTTTCCTACAATGCTCATTTGGCACTAATCTTGTTATTTGGTTTCACTTTTTGGAATGGGAAAAAGGACATCATTTGGGATCAAAAATTTGTAACCTAATGCCAGGTATTGTGGGTACATATAATTCTAGCTACTTAGGAGCCTGAGACAGGAGGATCTGGAATCCATGGCCAGCCTGGGTGATTTATGCGAACTTGTTTGAAAAAAATAATTTGCACATTCAGATACTTGGTCCGTTGGGAAATCATTCTAGGGTATGCTATGAGTTGTAGAATGTAATTGTTCTCCTTTCCAAAATATTAACATTTAGCACTCAGGAGGCTGAGGCAGGAATATTGCTGTGAATTTGAGGCCAGCCTGGGCTACATAGTGAGTTCAAGACCAACCTGAATTTCATAGAGAGACCCTGTCTTAACCTCCCCCAAATACAGTATTAACATTTGTTTTTTAATAAAGCATCACTTTCCCATGATATCCTAACAATATTAGAATCATATGTAAAAGTATTATGTCTTAGAAGTTTATTTGGAATTTAAAGTTTATTTGGACATTTATCACTTGCTTGGAGGTTACTCTGAGCTGCAAAAATTGCTTATTCTATCTAAAAATCACTACTTGAAGCCAACATCTACTTTACTATTCATGATGTTTCCCTTTTCCCCTCGCAAATTGACATTTGGTTAGATGGGTGGGGATTTTTTTTTTTTTTTTTTTGTACCAGGAATCAAACTCAGGACCTTTTGCTTGCCATGCAGGCACTGGTGGGGGTTTTTTTTTTTTTTTTTTTTGTACCAGGAATCAAACTCAGGACCTTTTGCTTGCCATGCAGGCACAGCAGTGCCACTGAGCTACAACCCTGGCTTCTTTTTTCTTTTTTGAGACAGGGTCTCACTGTGCAGTTCAGGCTGGCCTTGAACTCATGGCAATCCTCCTGCCTCAGCCTCTCGAGTGCTGGGATCACAGGTGTGCCCCCATACCTGAGTAAGCGTGGGGATAATTTCTAATCAGTTGACGAAGAAGATACAGTAGTTTGCAGTGGGAGATGAGGGATGGGAAACCACAGTAACAATCATAAACAGTACCACAGAAGAACATTTGTTGAGGAATAAATGGGTTAAGTGTGTATTGTTCTTCAACAGCTTTTCTCAGAGCCTCTCTTGAACCATCAGAAAGGAATGTTTTCTTGCTGGAAGCCACTAGTTCTTGGTTCTTGCCCTGAGGCAGAGAAATCTGGCTCCTCTTTCCCTCTGTTGAAAAGGGTCTCCCTTGAAGAAGAAGAACTGGTGTAGAGGAAGGCACTTCAGGAAGAACCCATCAGAGGAAGTCCTGCCTCTATTGCCTGCTGAAGAAAGGTCTGACAGGAAGACTGAGGAGGTAAGGTCTGCAGAGGAAGGGGTGGCTGTGGCCGCGGGAGGCAGGCAGACATTCTCAGAAGTCGATACCTACGGTGAGTTAGGAAGGATGTGCAGCATTTAGTCCACAGAGAAGAGGGAAAGGACTCTAGTCGGACAAACAGGATTGGGAAAGGCATCAACACAGGATGCCTCCTGAGAGCTGTGCGTTGTAGCAGCCAAAGTGTGGTGAAGGAAAAGTGTGATGAGAGTCCAAGCTGGACGGGTAAGTGAGGGCCCGTCACGGAGGGTCCTAAACCGGCTTTTTCGGGAGGATAATCACCAGGTTTCAAAAGTGAAAGAATCGGATGTATCCTGTAGAAAACACCCCATGGCCCAATACACTGTGTGCGTTTGGGACAAAGGCTAGAAAAGAGGGTGAGGTGAGGGCACAGCAAAGCCCATTGCACAGGCCAGAGAGGGCCTCCCGATTCCAGGAATTCTACTGTCAGATGTCCCTGGTGCAGCCCCCTATGACAAAGCCTGTGATGTTTTGGAAAGGTGACTCCAGGAGAGACAGGAGGCCCCGATTTAAACTGTGGGGACAGACTCCCCTTGGGGAGGAGGATATGGGAAAAGCAGGGAGACCTTGGTAAGTGTCCAGTAAGGAGACACTTTGAGTGGAGGCTGGAGACGGGAAAAAACCCTCACCCTGCCATAAGGGGATCCCCAAATTCAAACGAGACAGAGGGAGAGTCAAAAATAGAGAGACAAATGTCACTGAGCCTTTTTTTTCCCCCTTAAACAAAGCAACTGCATTCAGTGGGCCCTCAGGAAGGCCAGTCATTTCCTGAGGAGATATCAGGCCAGCCCAGGCCTCATTGTTCTGGGTTTTCCAGCAATGGCTGCCATTACCTGACCAACGCCACAGTAGGTCTCTCTGGTGCCTCTGGAGAAGTTACCAAGTTGTTTCTGCTCTTCACTGTGCAGGTTTCTCATTGGGGGCTACTGGAAAGTGTTTTCTGTCCCCCAAGACATGACCCAAAGGCAGAACTGACTGTACCAGGCAGCCTTCGCTTTCAGGATGTGGCCAGTGTGGGTCCAAAGGGACCTGATGCGGCTGGGAGCCCTGCTGACTCTGCTGCTCTGTGAGTTGTCACTGACCCCACTGCCTCTTACCTTCCAGAGCACTGAGATTCTGAAATCAACAGATTTCTTCTGTCTCTTCCAGGTTTGAGCCTCGAGAGTCAGGAAAACTGTAAGTCGTGATATTTCTACCTTCCTCTCTCTTTCCTTTTTATTTATTTATTTTTTTGGTACCGGGGATTGAAGTCCGGTCCTTGTGCTTGCAAGGCAGGCCAAGAACCGCTGAGCTAAATCTCCGGCCCTCTGTTTCCTTCTTTGATTCCTAAAACTGGGGCCAAATGGCTTGGGATTGATTTGTATCACAATAGAGGAAAATATTGCAATGGGAAACAAACGTTTATTGCATTTTGGAGTCATCTTTAGAAGCACTTGTTCTAAACCATGTTCTACTAAGTGCCTTTTAGAAGCAGCATTTTAAAGTGTTGAGGAATGCTTTTAGAATCTACCTTTTCTAGACCCTGGTGGACTGCTGTTTGTTGGAACTGGGAAGGTGATAAAGAAACAAATGATTCCATAATTTGTGGTTGTTTAGCCAAAAATTGTTTTGCATATTTTGCCTCATTCCTGGATGCTAATTTTTATGTCTGGGTTGTAGGAAGGGTTGAACTCAGGGGTTTTGTGTTGAGTTACATCCCTCATCCCTTTTAAATTTGAGACAAGATCTTGCTATATTGCTGAGTCGCCTAAGTTGGACTCAAACTCGTGATTCTCCTGCCTCAGCCTGACAGAGTACGAGGATTGTAGGCATCCACCACCAGCTCCCCAATGTGTGTTTTGCGTTTTTGTTCTGTTTTTTATTTTTCCTTCTATTTTTACTTTTTGGGATCGAACTCGGGTCCTTGTACTTCTGAGGCAGACGGCAGAACCACTGAGCTAAATATCTGGCTCTTGTTCTGTTTTTGAGACAAGGTCTCACTACATAGGTCAGGTTGGCTTTGAACCCATTACGTAGCCCAGGCTGGCCTTGAATTCACAGGGATCCTCCTGCCTCAGCCTCTCAAGTGCTAGGATTATAGGTGTGCTCCACCATGCCCCACCTTTTTTTGTTTTCTGTTTTGTTTTGTTTGGCTTTTTGAGACAGGGTCTCACTATGCAGTCCAAACTGGCTTTAAACTCACTATGGAGCCCAGGCTGGCCTCAGACTGGCTGAGATCCTCCTGCCTCTGCCTCCTGAGTGCTGGGATTACAGGTGTGCATCACCACGCTTTTCTCCTATTTTTGTTTCTAAAGCTTGCTTCTGTTTTCTTATTTCCTCCCAACTGTCTTAAATAACAAATCAGTTTGTCAGATTCATGAAAACAGAACAATGTTGAAGTTGGTATGATGACTCTTTTTCTCTGAAATGATTTTTTTTAAAGTACCGCATTCTCATTTTCCCTCCACCTGTGAGGCTACAGTTGCATCTGTACCATTCCGTGCTCCCACACAGGAAGGGAGTGCTGCCTGTCTTTGAAGTCTGGTTTGCCATCCGCTTTACAGCTGAGTGCATATGAACTTTCATCTTGAGATAAGAGGGTCTTGTTCTGCTTTGTCTCGGATTGCACGACAGAGGGACTCAGCTAGGTCTGGGGGTTGTGAACGGAGGGAAAGAGCAACAACACGCTCCCATGTCAGAAGTCTCTTCCGTTGGCCCAGAAGAGGCTTGGCTGGGTTGCAGGCGTATTGTGCAGCTCTTGGGAGAAGTCCATGGACAATCCGGGGTTGAGCTGAGGCTGGCGCTGTGGCCCCTGACCTGCAGGGGTCCCTCTTCAAATGCCCATGGGCCTCCTTAGGGGTATGACCTCCCTGGCACCCTGTGGAGGCAGGAGACCCGTTGCCTTCAAATCCCCCCACTTGATTGACTCAACCACGCAGGGGCCACTCAGCAGGACATCAGCACTGGGGCCTCCATCACCCAAATCTCAACGGACCGCGGGGTCAGAGGCCCAGCCTGTGTCTTTAAGACCGGTTTAATTTTGGAGGTTTTTGTCCCAGTCTGTAAAATGGGGTAGTGACAGGATCTGTGGCACGGAGTGGGTGTGAGGATGAGACTGGGTAAAAGTAACTCTCCTGCCCCACGGAGATGAACGAACAGTAGCGACAGTCGCTGCACGGTCCTGGCCCCTTTTGCAATCATAGCTTTGGCTCCACCCCCTCTCTAAAGTCCACTCCAGACGCAGATCCCCAGCTCTGGCCAGACCTTGCCCTGAGGGCCACACCTTACTTTGCAAACACCCAGGGGGTTGGGCTCCAGCTCTCTGGCTCCCGCGGTCCTGTTTCCCAGCATCAGCACTGCCGTTCTCCTGCCTCTTCCTTGGGACCCTGGAGAATGACCCCTTGACTGCGTGCTCAGGCCCCTGCTTCATTTTAATGGACGGAACCGAGACCCAGGGGCCACAAGGCCCTGTGCAGGGCCAGCACCGCGGTCTGCAGAGTGGGGCTGGGGTCCTCTCCCCTCCTCAGACCGCCCAAGGCGTTCTCGGTGAGGTGCCTGACTGGCCAGGGCGCCTGCCCTGAGTTTTCCCACTCTGCGGCCTCGGCCTCTCCCCTCTCATTTGAAGCCTTCCGGGTTCCTCAGCCCTCATCCAACCTCACTGCGCCTCAGCGGATGACTTCAGCTCCACCTTCACCTGGAAAAGTCAGTCTGGAGGGAACTCCCTCCACTTCCAGCCTGGCGCCGGCCGCAGCTTATCTTCCTCCCCACCCATCCTTCTGGCTGCAGGACGCAGGTCCACACCCTGGCTGATCTTGGCCTCCTGGGCCACCTGGGCCTCAGCCTGTCCCTCCCTTAGCCCAGGACCTCTCTTCTTTACTTATTCCTGCCCCTTCTTGCCTCCCTACTTGGAGCATCTGACCTTGCATCTGGCTTTTTCCTCTGTCTACAAACCGATTGGCAACTTGTTTTTTAGGGAAAAGAATCCCTGGCAGCCTCAATCTCTGCCACTCCGAGGTCTTTCCCGCCCATAGCCCACACCCACTTTCACCTCCACATCCGCCCCCGTGAGCCTGAGGCTCAATCTGGGGCCAACAGCTGCGCCTCTTCCTGCCCCTCAGTTCCTCAGGCCCAGCTGCACCCTGGGACTTTGTCTGCCTCCGTTATCTTTTTCTGGCATTCTCCATTTTACTCGGTGACACCCTTATCCTCCTGGGGGCGGGAACCTCATCCAACCCTATCTTCCACGTAGCCTAGCAAATAAGTCTTCTAAAAATTGTAGAGCTGGGCGTGGGGATACCTGACTGCGATCCCGGCATTCAGGAAGCTGAGGCAGGAGAATGGAAAGTTTGAGGCCCACCTGGGCAAGTTAGGGTGTAAAAGCCCAGGACTACATAGTGAGACCCTGTCTCCAAAATCAAACCAACCAAGTGGTAAAATACAAATATTGTAAAGTGTATTATTAGTGGCATTTAGTATTTTCATAATGTTGGCCATCAGCACTGTCTAGTTCTAGAATGTTCTCATCGCTCCCTGAAACAAATCCCCGGAGTCCCTCAAGAGTCTCTGTGCCCCTCCACTTTCACCGGAAGTGTCCCAGGCTCCCTCGGGCCTTGCCCCACAGGAGCTTTCTGAAACTGACCTCATCTGCCCTGCCTTCCCCACAGAGGTCAGTGCCTGGCTTCCCTCCTGGCCCAGCCCAGGGCCCCCCCGCCGTCCCCACGCTCTGCTTCCTGTCTCTGGCTGTGCCTGGGACGCGCTGATTTCCCACACCCTGGCGCCTGGAGCGCCTCGGTCCAGCGGGCACCCCCGTCCTTCAGATGCCCGGCCTCGGCGGGCAGTTCTTCCCCGGTGCCACTGCTGCCACTGAACCCCAGCCCCGCCAGAGACAGCCGGGATGATCCCTTATTCACCCCAAAGCCCACACCTGGCACAGATGTTCCGGAAACGTCTCAGGGCTCAGGGCTGGGGACTTGAACTAAGCTTCGGAGAAGGTAGAGATTTCACGCGAGAAGATGAGTCCGCGTGTTCTCTGGGGAGCGCACCGGTTCGCCGGGGACTGAATGGCTCCTGGAGCCCTGCAATTTTCCTGACGACCCCTCCGCTCTGAGTCATTTCCAGGTTGAAGGCCAGGTGGCAGGCTGAGTCATGATGGCTTCTCTTTCCAGGGGGCCTCCTCCTCCTCCTCCGATGACGGGTGGCCTTGAGGAGGAGGATCTATCCCCCGCCATCCCCCATACTAGGAATCAAAGTCGGGGCCTTCCCTTGCCAGGCAGGCCTGGCACCACCGAGCTACATCCCTGGCCCTCCATCATTTTAATATTTTGGGATTTCTTTTCTTCTCTCTTTTTTTTTTTTCCTGGTACCAGGGAATCAAACTTGGGACCTTCTGCTTGCAAGGCAGGCGGCAGAACCACTGAGCTAAATCCTCAGCCCTATTTGGGGATTTGGTACTGTGGTCCCTGAGTGTCTTATCTGTGCTGTGATGATGCTGTGACTTGGATCCTTCTCCATCAGCTGGCATCTGTCTCGGTGGAAAAGATCTGATGTGGCTGGTCCGGAGGTAGTGAGTTATCTCCATTGATCGTTCAGTCAGTTACAGATTGAACTCCTTGTCCTACTTGTTAGGGAATTGATCATGTTAAAGTATGCTGTGACGCCGCCACCACAGGCTGCATTCTCCTGGTACATCCTGGCTCCTAAAATGACCTCATGCCCTTATCTCTGGTTTCCCTCCCCCACAAGGCCACAGTGGTCCAGGAAAGTTGAAACCTGTGTCTGCAGGGCTGAGCCCATAAAAGCAATCTGGCCTGTGATAGGTTAAAAGTAGCCCACTCCTCATTAATAATCAATGGTTTAGGCCAAAACTGATAAAAGGGCCTTCCTTTCTTTGTTTTCTTCTTCTCTTCTTCTTCCTCCCCTCTCTCTCTGCTCCCCCCCTACTCCCACCCCTTGAATAAAATCTCCAGTCGGACGTGTATGTGGCCTAGTTGTTGAGCGTCACTGTTCCCTTTCACTGCTCTTACCCCCTTCTCACTACTGCACTCCCAAAAAGCCCTTTTAGAAAACTTTATACTCTGAGACGGAGTCTTACTAAATCGCGAAGTTGTCCAGGCTGGACTAGAACTTGCAGTCCTGCTGCCTCAGCCTCCCAGAGTGCTGAGGGTCCAGGCGTGCGTCACCACACATTCGATTCACCA